GGGGGAGGTCTCTGGTTAGGCTAAAGAAAGCTCTGGTGGTTTGCCTCGATAATGCTTTGGTTAACTCTCAACAACATCCCTTATTCTTCACCCTTACCTCACACCCCTTACCTATCACCCATTACCCCTCACCCCTCACCCCGTAACCATCATCTCTCCCCCCCCCCACCCCTCACCTCTCACCAGTTACCCTTCACCCCTCACCCCTCATCCCTCACCCCTCAGTAATATTTACGAGATTTATCGTAGTGAGGTCAACAAAACATGTCTTTGAGTGACTGCCATCACACCATGAGAGGCACGAGAGAGAGACTGGCTGGGGCAAACGCCAAAAAATTTTTGGCAACCCGCCAAAAGAGCAAAGAGACCCCAGAGCCAAGAAGAGAAAAAGGTGTTATAGGATGTGCTGTAATTGGGTGGTGATGGAGTTGAAGACCTTGAAATTTTCGTCGTTAGACTTCGAAAAGTACACTAAATAAGCGTGTAAGCATCAGTAGGAGCACAATTATTAAATGTGCATGATGTGCCCTGTGAGAAAAACTAAGTGACGAGTAATTGCACAGATCAAGCCCTAAACTTAAAACCGCCTTCTTGATGAAAGAGTTATAATATATGTGGTCAGCATGCACACAGATTCTTAAATTATTTTATTCACCAAGTTTCTTGTTCACTTCAGGTGGTTTTCAGGTCATGCAGCACCAAGATGTATTTATTCATTCAAATGAGTAAGGAAATGTGGGACTTTGATTTCAGTGGAGATCTGTACATTGAAAAGGCCATCAATGGATTTCTTTATGAGCTCTTTACTAAATGGAAGGAGCTCAAAGCCAACCATGACGTCAATATTATTTTGTTTTCAAGAACATTTTATGATGCTCAGTCTCCAGGTTAGTACTAATAGGATACTTAGGTCCATCCCATAACTGGACACCTCCCAAAACAAGAAGTAAATATCTTGAAGTGAGTCCCATAATCAGATACTACCATAACTAGACATGTCACGTTAAGTTGAGATTACTCAAACTGAAGGTAACACATTCCAAGCAGTGTAATCATCAGCGCCTCTGATCTTTCTATAAGTGGAAACCTCTCCATTTGAGCTACATACACATTATATATGCACCTCCTGAGAATGGATAACCCTGTGAAAGGAAAACTTGCATAAAGAGGTCCCTGCCATGTCAAGGCCGACATACATGTATTCCACAGACAAGTAACACAAATGGACAGCTCATACTAGTAGACGCCATTCCTGAGAGGACAGCTCTTGTACTTAGGTGAACAGCTCCCAAAACTAGTTATCTCCTACTTAATTCCATAAGATTAAGACACTCCCTTGAATGGACTAATCTATCATTACTACACAATACCCATAAGATGATTTTAGCCACAGTTAGATACCTCTCATAAGTCGACAACACCTACAAATGGGCACATTCCATAGAGGGTCCCCTGTACCTCCTCTGAGAGCAGTTTCACACATAAATAGTTGGCCTTTTCACACATCACGAGAAATTCAAAAAACAGCTTCACATTCACAGAAGAAAGCAAGCAGTCGCATTTCACACAAAAATGCAAAGGCTAAATCATGTTTCACATGAAAATACAAATTCTATTCACGTTTTGCAAAACATACAAAATTTAATACAAATACATCTAGTTTTACATCTGGTTTGGTGTAGTTTACAAGCTTTAATGACGCTAAAATCTCCAAGCAAGTGAAAAATGATTCCTGCAAAAATTGTTGGTTCACAAATCACACGTAAGTAAATGCATATTTCACGGATCATAAAAAAGTAATGTTGAAAACCAGTTTCTGGAGGACTAAAAAATGTAGATTTATGAATCACAGAAAAAATAAATCCTTATTCACGCTTCACACAAAGCAAAAATGCCCATTCACGTGTCACAAAAAAGTATAGGGGACCCTCTCCATACTTACATGCTTAATGTGTGTGATTTTACACAGGTGACTTTCCTGTGGAAACTCAAGCATGCATTCAACAAGATCCTTATGGAAGATTTTATGAAGATTTCTACCAAGTGGTTGTATTACAAGACAGGCGTGATGACTGGATACCAATGCTGGTGACTCTTAAGCGTTGCTTCAATCAATATCCCAGATTCACAAACTGCTGTGACAGGCTTAGAGGCACTAAAATTACTGGATGGAATTCTAGCTCGTGTGAAGGAAATTTTTTAGAAGCTATCAATTTGTCAATGAATGGTAAGTAAATTTATCTTGTATTGCCATCATTTATTTTCAGAGGTTCATACATCACACTACTCATGACTGCAGTCACACTGCTCACAACCAAAGTCATACTACTCACATTCACTGTTATTATTTATGTACACATCTCACAGCCACACTCACAATCACAGTACTCACAAACACAGTCGCACAACTCTCAACTACAGTCCACAGCTGAAGTAACATTACTCACAACCACAGCCACACTACTTGTAACCAGTTACTCTAGTCATAGCCACAGTCACACTACTCACACTTACTGGGTACATGCACTCCACTCGCAATAACTCGCACAACTCTCAACTACAGTCCACAGCTGAAGTAACATTACTCACAACCACAGTCACACTACTTGTAACCAGTTACTCTAGTCATAGCCACAGTCACACTACTCACACTTACTGGGTACATGCACTCCACTCGCAATAACTCGCACAACTCTCAACTACAGTCCACAGCTGAAGTAACATTACTCACAACCACAGTCACACTACTTGTAACCAGTTACACTACTCATAACCACAGTCACACTACTCATAACCATAGTCACACTACTCATACCCACAGTCACACTACTCATAACCACAGTCACACTACTCATAACCACAGTCACACTACTCATAACCACAGTCACACTACTCATTTCATCACAGTTACACTATTCATAAACACAGTTACACTACTCATAACCACAATCACACTACTCATAAACCACAGTTACTCTACTCATAAACCACAGTCCTAGTTACGCTACACACAACCACAGTCACACTACTCATAACATAATTTCGTTGGAATGTCATTCTGAAGAATTTTTACCATTAATTTTAACTGCAAATTCTTTTTTCTAAATATTAGTTTTAATATTTCAATTTTGTCGCAGCATTTGAGAGGCACCATATTGATCGTAATTTTGAACGCACTGGCCAGACAACCATTCTTGTGACTCCAGGTTCAGGAGTGTTTGAAGTTGATAGAGAAATGACCAGCATTACAAAACAACGATTACTGGATAGCGGTAGGTTACTCTTGCAGATTTAACTGTTATTGCAGCTATCAGCAGTTTGACATACAAGGAAGTCAAACGGGTCAATTCTGCTTTGTGTTGACCTATTTGCCTAATTTGTATCACTTTTAAGATGTGGCTAAATGTTATTTAGGCAAAGTTTAAATCAAGCTTGTGCTGGCCAGTGGTCTCTCAGGGCGATCATGCTCAGTGTGGTCTCACGACCACACGGGGTTTTGCAGGGCTTACCTGTTTCGCTTGCCAGCTGTGTGAGAACATGCAGTTTTTCCTTGAGTGCCCTTCGGGCCTGTTGAGTACTTTTGCTCCCTCACCTCCCTCCCTCTTGCCGGCGATGGTAATCTTGCTGGCGACGGTATCTCCACTGACTCTGTCAGTGTGACGGTGCCTGGTGTTTGCCGCTCTCAGTATTGCCGTGGATACCTGCACCTTTCCCTTAGCTCATCAATTGGCAATGTGTTTAACAAAAAGGTATTTGACTACTTGCTCAACTGCTGTTGATAATTTATCATTATCAATTTGAATGTCCTCAAGTAGATAATAATATTAACTGTCACTCTTACCTGGCGATACAACACAACAGTTTAAACCTGTGTGGTGTTTGGTGCCAGCTCTTAAACGCGGCGAAAGAATCCCCCTCAGCTATTTTAACTTCCTTGGATCTCGTCAGTACAGGGTAGCTGGTGTTCAGGCCTTTTTCCTCAAAAACTATATATTAAACTGGAGTAAAAACAAAGTTGTCAAGAGGGTGGTAAGTCGTGAGTCTTAAGGAAGGATTCAACTGTGTAACCAGGAAATGCAAGTTTGCCTGCTACACTATTTAGATGTTGCCATGTTCACGGTTGTTTGAGACTGGCATGACATCGGAAATCATATCAGGGATATTGAAAGAGTTAATTTTTACATGTGATGTTTACCAGGTGTTTCTGTCGACCTTGTGTGCCTAGCTGAACAGCCCCTTCACACGATTCCCCTCCTAAAGTTCTTTAACAAGACCTTGGGCCATGGGGACCCTGATTTAGGAGATGACTACAACATACCTCACTGGATGAACCACAACTTTTACACCTCACCAAAGAACAGAAACAAAACAGAGAATTCTGTACCTCGTATAAAAATTCCTGATGTTGTCCTGAGTTCTCTTGGAAGAAATGGTGAATGCGAAAAAGGTGAGGGGACTTGGGTATAGATAACTTTCAACTGTCGTTATTTTTTTATAAAACCGTCCAAACCGATATTAAATATTTGGAACATAGTTTAAGTAAATGTTTAAGTGAATCACATTGTTTCACATCCACAGATTCCCATACAAACACCTTGTTTTGTGTCATGTGTGCATCTGATAGTAACATTGAGTTGGTAGTTGTTTATCACCTCACGAGACGTGTCTCTCTGACATGTCGAGACAGGACTCTTGCATAGTGAGAATCACAGAAGTCTTTGATTCTGACTACAGTAACACGAGACATTCAATGTGAATAGTTTATTGAGGATGTGTCAGTCAGTCATCTGATATAGATGTATTCCGTCTTACAACATAATCTGTGTCCTTGCAAATTACAATTATTGGTTCTTACAATTAGAACCTGTGCTACACCAGATACGAAAACGGAACCATGAAAAAAACACCCTTTAGATGTGACCAAAAAATATGTGGAAATGTTGTCCTCGTGTAATGTAGCAGCAGAAGGAAAGGGTACAAAATCAGCAATGGAGAACATTTTACAACTATACATACAAGGTGTTGTAACAAAAGATTAATAATAATAAAAGAGGACGAACACGAAGACTGAATAACCTAGAATGACCCAAATCTCTGGCCAAATGCCTAAATAGTCTCTAAACGTCCATGACACCCCGCGAGCATCTCCATCCTGCCGTCAGGATAATAATTTCTGACTAATTCGTCCCTTAATCGTCAGAAATAACATTTTTGAAATGAATGAAAATGGCGGCAATTTGTTGATGGCGGGATTTTTTGCTTGCCCATTGCATGCGCGTCGCCATAGAAAATGCTACTTTTCGAACTCATTAATGATTCATCAAGTCAAAACAAAGAAAAACGCAACCGTTAAGGAGGTTTGGATACCAGGTCTTAATTAGCATAGATTTTGACGATTTTACCTCTCCGTTTACTCTTTAGTTTTTGTTTCGATTGAGAAGATTTATCAAACACTCCAGACAGTGTTTCATCGGCTATCCAACACCTCGAATTTCGTCAAAACTACTCCGCTGCGCGTCGTATTTTCAAATCTTTTCTCGGTGTTTGGATACCCCGATGAAACACTTTCTCTCGTGTTCGATATATTACATCAAAAATGTATCGATCTTTCTTTTCGCAGGAGTATACGCTAATTTTGCGGATCATTTCAAAACAGAAATAGAAGACAGTCAGCTTCCAGATTTGGTGGATTATGACGAATATGACCGCAAAGTGTTTAGAAATCCTATAACTCACTCTACACTGAAGGGTTACCCACCAAGGGGTTCGGCCTTCAGGCGAATACGAAGCGCTCTTGAAATGCAACGAATGGCTAAGTCGATATCAAGAGACGAACTCATGTTTCAGAAAGTTTCTTCGCCTTCTCGCGGTGTCTCTTCGTTTGAAGACTTGGATTTGGAGATTTCGTCTTCGTCGAGCTCGTTCATGGTGAGTAACTGTTAGCTACAAATATCATGAAACATTGTTTAGTGTTACATAAGGCGGGTGAACGCGTTGGAGGTTTCGTTAAGAATTGCCACATCCTTGAAAAGAACTCGATGAAAAATGTGGATTTTCCACTTGAAACGTCCCTGAATTTCTACCAGCAGTCCATGAATTTTTTACTGATAAGTCCTTGAATGATGGAAAGCGAAAAGAAATTCAAGAAAAACATTTGAGATCTCATGATTGGATTCTGATGTTAGGAGAGTTAAGTTATTTTATGTGAATTACGTAACTGTACACGTAAGTAACGCTGCACGCATGTCTGTATTTTGTGTCCCAGGGGCCACATAAACAAATTTTACTTGTTATTCTGAGGGAAAAGAGTCCTTGAATTTTGCTGAATTGTCCTTGAATAGGCCTTCGATAGACGATTCTGACGTCTGTATGAAGATTGGGCAGCATTGACTTGGATTAAGAACAAGTACGAGAAAAATTCAGCCCACCTCGCGTATATAGCTCACTGAATATTCTCTTTCTTTGTCCTTGGCCAGTTCAGTACTCTCTCTCCCGTTCCTGGAAGAGTCCTGCCACCGTAGCCAAAAAAAGCACAATGGATAAAACTTGTCTCTTTGTTAGAGACAAGTTTGTTCCTCCTTCAAAGGGACTGTTTGCAAAACTCTCGTTTTAAATCTGACTACAATATAACACGGTTTTGGAGGAAATGTCACTTGTTCCTTTGTACTGCTCAGCTTTCGAGAAGTTGAGCTCTCTCTGACATTTTCAACTTGGAAAATCAGTATTGGAAAATAACGGAGATGCAGCTAGTGTCCAATTCTAATTACGACAGCGGTTGCTTCTCTTGTCGGTGAATGACCACTGTTTTGAAAGTAGGTCACAGCAAGCCTCCGTTGCCCCTGGCGTTTGCAAAGAGCTGAAAATTCAAAAAAGAAACGTGTGGACTTTACGCTTAGAGACCTGTTTTTTTCGTTTCTATAGAGACGTGATGCTCCTTTCAAAGAACTAGAAAACAGCACCCGAGTGCTATCTTCATCTGTGGAGTGTACCTCTCACGGTGTTCTAGGTATGTTGAATTTTCATTCTTCGTGTCCATACCAAAAGAGCATGGTTTAATTAACAATTATTCCACCAGCGCGCGTTGGATATGAGATGGTAGATAGTCAGGCTATAACCACCTCACATCCAACAGGCACGAGCGGAATAATTGTTTTATTAAACACGCCCCGAAAAAAAAAAGAAAACTGAAATAAAATAAAAGTAAAAATTCTCCCCAAAATCATGCGTACGCTTACCATATTTGTAGAGCATGGTATAAACAAACAATAGCCTCCATTTGGCGCGAAAATATGCCAGGATATTTGTCCGCGGACATTATCTGTTCCGAGAAGTGAACAGTTTTCCGAGAGCGTAGCTCGAGGACAACTATGAGCAGTTGAGGAACAAATAATGTCCAAGGACAAATAGCCGAGCATATTTTCGCGCCAAATGGAGGCTNGCTATCGTGTTTTTTATTATTCTTCAAATCTTTTTCGCAACGCGCGCAGTTTTGAAAATTGGGAAATATTCTCGGATATTTCCCAGTTTTAGCTGGGGAATATTCGGGCACGTGACGTGTTTAGACCAATCGCGCGCGAGCGAAAATATTTGATGGATTATAATGGCTCATAACCCATGATGACTAAGCCAGTGAAAACTCTTGAATTGCATTATCCAATGACTGACTGACTTCTAGTGGACCAATTGGCGCCCTATGATCCAGTTTTAAATAGTAAATTATACTCACTTATAGAAGATTTTCTTCTAATTTCAAAGGTTTCTGAATTCACCACATAAAACGAAAAGGGAAGTACATGTAGCTAACGAAACATTGGTTTGTGCTTCTAATATTACCCTCATGGTTGGCGTAATGTCCAAAAAATATTTTAAATAAATAAATATTTTCCTGCTGTAAACACTGATTTTTGTCTATTTGTTTCTTGCAGTGTCCCTACCCGAAAATGTAACCCGAAATGACACCTTCCATGAAATCATTCGCCCTATAACTCAGCGGTTTGCTGTTGGCAGCGCAGGCGCAGCACATGACATGAACACCGTTCAAGTGCGGCCCCAGAGGACCTTGATAAACCCTTTCAAGCCAAATGCGATTCCCTGCAATTGGACATGCAACAACCATCGCTGGTCACATGTTTTTCCCAAGGGACCCAGCGGAAAAGTTCTCCATTTACACTATGAACAACCCTCGCCGGCTGAAACCGAGACTCTCGTAAAACCCGAGAAGGTGCGGATTGTGTTGCATTCAACAACCAAGTTTTGCTTGAAGATTAAAGTTGATTTCTAGTCCGTACTGCGCAGTCTCGGCATCCCAATGTTTGTGAGTCTCCCTTGATTAAACGCGAAGCAATGTTATTTGTTACGAACCTCTTACCTTATGTTTGAGGCATTCTTTTTCCAACAGTTTCTTTGATTTTTACAACAGACGAAGTTATTTCATATCAGAAAGAACAAAGCATTAAGCTTCGCATCCATAGTGGCGGTTGACAAGGCAATAGACCAATTTCGATATATTAAAATTCAGCCTAACACAATAGACCTCAGCACGAGGCTCTGGGAAATAAAGCCCACAAACTCTGTAGTTATTCCCAGAGCCTCGTACTAAGGTCTATTGTTTTAGGCTGAATTTTAATATATCGAAATTGGTCTATTTGAATTTACTTCATGTAAGTAATTGCGAAATATTACGATTTGTGACGTCCCACACGAATCAAAACAAAGATGTAAACAAACTCTCGAGAGTGCGCGGTACAAAAGGAAACCATTTTTCTATTAACTAAATGTACTATGTTTTGTTTTCTAGTCACGTGATGTCGAAGAAGCAGCCCTTGCAGTGGTGACGGCTCGCAAACGAGAGATTTCAGAAGCTTCCCAGAGCATTTCAGAAGAACAAGACTTATTTGACGAGATGTCAGGAAGCGAAGGCAGCGCCGAAGATACAGACGAAGAAAACACGTTAAATTCCCAAACATTGCCTCGGTCTCATTTCAGCCCAGTTTCCCACGGTTTGCAGACGTCACAAAACACGACACCCAGGCGCCGAACTCAGCTGGCGCGAATCAATCTGTACCGAGGGGTGGAAAAAGCGCCTGTCGAACATGACTGGACAGCGGCTGTCAAGACGGGCGTGGATTGGAAATCTTTGACGTGTCCGGCGCTGCTGCCTCTGACGTCAGATTTTTATCCAAACAAGAAGACATTGAATTCAGACTATCTAGAGTACAACTATAAACTGTATATTGAAGAGGAGGAAGATTTTACCGAAGAGAAAAAGAATTTTGATTGGGGAAAACAAGAAAGGTAAATAAATATTTCTGGTGGTTGCAAAATTAATTACTTATTGCGAAGATGTCAAACATTTAGAAGACTCGTTTAACTTGTTCGACTCGAATCGAGAGGACCGGGCTCAAGCTGGGGTAACATGAACTGTATTATGCTCTTGGGCAAGATATGTTGCTCTCACAGTGCCTCTCTCCACCCAGGTCTAAACCTGGGCACTGTTGAGTTGTTAGGGTAATTTGACTAAAATGATTAGTGGCAACCCCGCAAGAGACTAGCGTTCCGTCCAGTTGGGGGAGGGGATGGGGGAGGGTGCCAATACTTCTTGTTGCTTCATGCTATGGAAAGCGTGATTCACTCTGGCAGTTTGGGGAAATTGTGCCACTTTACCTTCTCTAACAAAGAATAAGACGTACAGGCCTTGTCAATTCTAGAAGTTCTCGTTTGTGTTCGGTTTTACAGGGGGATAAAAATCGTCTTGCCAAAATCTAGGTCTGTTCCTTCGACTGTTAGTAATGTTTTGAAACTTTTGTCTTGCTTTTTATGTTCCTAGTACACAAGAGGAAGATTTACATGGAGCCCATCGGCGCTTGAGTGCAGAGATGATATTCATCGAGCTTGTGTCACAACGAATTCGCAAGGTGACCCTGAAGACGAATTCATCTTTACTGTCCAAACTTTTAGTAGTCGTGTATTTAGAGATAAAAGGGAAAACGGACAGAAAACTAATACACAAGGACCTCTCCCAATGGCCATACCATGACCCTTTCTTTCTCAATCCATGAAACAAACGTGGACAAGCTCTAAACCAATCAGCTCACAACGTCACTCATGAAGAGTTGATGTGCCAATCGCAGCGACCTGTTGGCGCGCGCGTTTTACTGGCTGGAAAAATGTAAAGGTGTAATAAACGGGGCAAAAATAATTATCTTAACAATCTCACTTATAAGTTCTTTTTTTTATGCGCTGTGATTTTAGAACATGAACTGAAACCAGGAGCCATAATTGCGGACGGAGACCGTAAGTCTCGGGATTCGCGCGCACCTATGATATGGGACAATTTTTCTATTTTTAGAACAAATTGCGC